AAAAATTTGGGCTAGATACCAAAATTTGGAAATTTTAAAATCAGAGGCCAAAATTTGGAAAAATTTGGAAAAATTTGGATCCAAATTTTTGACAGTCCCTGCTAGTGATAAATATCGGCATAATAATTGATAAAACATCTACAAGATTAAAAAGATCTAAATAATATAGAATTCTTTTGCGATAAACTTGATTAAGCTCAATCATTATATGATAATATGAGAAATAATAAAATAATAGAATGACTATAATTGGCGTAATATGTTGAAATGCTCCAGTTAATTTACTGTAAGATGGGAAACATATGCCCAAGAAAAAATGAATAGGTCAAAAAGTATAAAGCAAAAAAATATAGGGCTCTAGGCCAATAGAATTTAGAAGAATACCACATCCAATTCATGACTGCACCCATTGATGGATTTTCATATATAATCTCACGAATATTATAATCACAGTTTATTATGAGTTTAACAAAGGGACTGTGATCCTCCTCTTTCAAAGATGAATATTGACTAGGAAAAATTAAAAATTTTATAAAATTTTTAAGTTTTCTTTCTATTATATCTCTTGAATCTGTTAATATTCTTTTGTTGGTGGCGAAATCTGGTAAAGGTACCATCCGAATATCGACAATTTTATCATAACTGAAACGAATTTAAAGTGAAATTGAATTATGTAATTTACAGTAAAGTATATAATTTAATGCAAAATTACTATTTTCATACTCGATTTCTCGCAGATCCAACTTAGAATCTTGTGGAACCAACTGTGTTATACTGTAGGTATAAAAACCTTTAATAAATCGTTTGACGTTGGTGAAATTTCAAAAAAATCAAAAGAGAGTAAATCCAATTGTTTGTCACAAAAGCAGGGGCTATAAAATAATTTTTGTGCATAATACACATATGATTCTATTATATGGAGATTAATATAATAAAAAAGTGTAAAAGTTCATATAATTAAATGGATTTGAAATTTGGTTTTCTATAAATTTTATTATATGAACACATAATTATTCTTTTTTTCATTACTTTCAAATAATTCCGGTATGATGTCTGCAACTGTATTCATCAATCCAAGGTTGTCAACTGCATTATTAGAATAGTAATCTAAAAAAAGTGCCAGCATAGTATGGTCTTCGTTCAAATAAGCGGAATGTTATTATTAATGTATATGGTATATTTACATGAACCAGCACAATTTTAATATACGAACCTGAAAGTGCAGTATGAATAGTATTTTTTTCGCCTGACCAAGCAAAATATGAACCAATTCTCCAAAAGATAGAATGTCATTTACAAGTTCATATTCCTTCGCTCTAATAAGAACACTCATTAAATCAAAGCGGATATCTAACAATCGCCAAGCAGATGGATGTAATCTAATAAATCTCAAAATTATTTTTCGTGTTTGTTGAATGATATTGTTGAATTTTAATTTTCTATCTTTATCAAAAAACTGTTCAAACTTTTTGAGGTTAGATAAAATTTCAAGCGAATAACAAGAATATTTTGCTACATTCATAATATAATAATCTTCCATTCTAATTTCACTTTCTATCTTAATTTCAGCTTTTGTTTTATTTTCACCTTTCTTAATTTCATCTCCCATTTTAATTTCATCTTCTGTTCATTCTTATCAATTTTAGTTTCATCTTCCATTTTATTTTCACTCTCTACTTCAATTTTATCTTCCATTTCAATTTGATGTGAACCCTCGACATCATCAGTTTTTTGAATGCTAAACTTAAGTTTAAGCTCAAATTTTCCGATACAGTACTTGATGCTTGTTATTTTTACTTCATTAATTTGCCATTAATCTGCCTCATTTTTAAAAATTTTGCGCAAGTGCATGCCGCACCAAAAATATAAAAATATAATGAGTTCAAGAGATCTCTTTCCAGGACCTTGATTATGCCAAACCTGAAGTGTTTGTTCTTCAATTAAAAGCAGCTTTTCTTTTTTCTCATCAAGATAAAACGAATATTGAGAATATCCACTAGGGGGATTAAATAACTAGGGATCAAGAATCCGATAATATTCATCTAATTCTGATTCATCATCATGAAGATCTCGGATCTTATTTTCGAGATCATCTCTTGAAAAATATTCACTTGATAGTTGCTTCCAATCTTGTTTACTTTTTTGTTTTAAATGTTTTAAGTATTTATTTACGATCAAATCATCGTAAATAGCCAGTTTGTCATCCTTATCAACGACCATGAATGAATTTGATCGTTCTATTTTTTGATGTCCATCAAAATTTACTAATGGGAGTTCTAATATAAATCCTGGATCCTCTAATTGAACAGAATCTTGTAATGAGGAGAAAATATTCCAGACAGTCCATTCTTCTTTTGAAAGATATATAAATAGCATCTCGTCATTATGAAAAAAATTAATAAACATTTCTTTTTCTAAGCCTTCTATATCTAGAATATCTACAAGCTCTGCTATTTTAAGGCCGCATTCAATAGAATATATTTCGATCCCTTTAATGGATAAAGACACATATGCTAATAATTTGTTATTGTTTGATATTGCGTATGATAAAGTAGGAATATCTATAATTATCGATTTGAATAAAATTTGTCTTTGAAAGATATTTACTAACTGGTTTGTTTTTAAATCATAAAGTTCTATATATCCAATTTCTCCGTTTATAGTATCTACCAAAAAATAATGCTTATTTATGCAATATTTAATATACCCGCATAAAGAATCATACGCGTTGTAGCATGCTTTATCGTATTCATAACCAATACTAAAGAGCACATCTGTATTATAAATGATAGCATTATATATTCTTTTTGGATATTTTAACTTTTGTACATAATTAATGTTAAGAAATTTATTCATATTCACATGATACTTGTAAATCCCCGAAATTGCCAAAATAATAAGAAGGTGCCCGTCAATTATATTGTCATTTTTAGAAAATAATTTGACTATCCCGCCATATTCAATCTGTAATTCTTTAATATAGTTAATTGAATAATCTTCATTCTTGATCATGAAAACAAAAGTAAAACCGTGATTAAGAGTTTCTATTGGGTGTATTCCATTAGTGCTTTCCCTATAATACTTCATATCCTTAATGTTAATAAAGGATATTGCTAATAATCTATATTCTGGTAAGCTAGTTGATTTATCTGATACGGCACTAAATATGTTTTCATGTTCATTCTTAATTAAATTTAGTTGCTTATCGGTAAATTTAAAGGAAGTAGGAATACTGGAAAGTTCCCTGTATGATGTTTTCTTGTCATCTTCTAGATCTATATCATTCTCTAATTTTAAATCATCCTTCATCACCGAATCGCTTGTTGATGGTAAGCCTTCATTATTATCCAATTTTTCAATAGTATACATTTGCAATTCGAATTCTAAATTAAATAAAGGACTATTTATATTACAAATCATTTAAAATTATTTAATTAAGCAGTTATTTCGCAAACATTTACCAAAATCTTCCTTTAATATAAATTCAACTGCAAAGTCACCTTCCGGACTAATAGCAAAATATTTTGAAGGCATCTCATCTTCTTCGTCAGTGTTCGTTTCATCGTCTTTGTCCTCGGATTTTTTTTCGTTTCCTTTTACTTCAGGTTCTTCATCAATTTTGACTTCAATAAAGCCTTCATTTTGACTAGCTGATGCTGACATAATAAAATAATTTATTTCTTATTGTTATTTTCTAATTATAACGGTTAATTTGTAAGTTTGAATAAGAATCAGGCAAAATTTTTTATTTAAATAACTTACGTGGGCTTAAAACATTCTAAAAAATGTTTATTTATTAGAGCCCAAGAAATCAATATTGTTGTTTTATTATGATAACTGTGGCTGCTTAAGATATTGATTGTAGTTAAATACTCCATTAACGTTAAGATTTATACGTATTCTTTCTAGAAAACTTTGTTTGAGAACACAGGATTTTTATTCATGTTAATTATGGCGATAAGCTAATATGTTTAATGATCTGATTGGCTAAAAAAACTATATCGCAAAAAACTCTCGAAATAGTGAGTATGAGCATTATTTTGAGTTATAGTCCAAATTAATTCTAGTTCGGGCTGTAACTCCAAATAACACAATTCTTTATTTCGGGATTTTACGGTAAGTATCCATTTGATTTGTTGCCGATCCTTGAAATTTAATTGGCTGCTTATATTAAGTGTTCTTTAAAATTTTGTCATTTTACTATACAAATTTATGACTTACTATTTGCAAGTTATAAATCCATATAACAAATAGTTTGTGAAATTTAAAGAAGATTTATTCTTCGATGTCACTTCGGGATAATTTAATCAGATTCATTACCGAATTATTATATGATCGATTGAATTTTTCTATATAGTATGTCGATAACCAATCAAATGGATAAATGAATTTGCAATTATGCTTACGGTAATCTTAATAATGGAAAAGAGGATAGTCAATAGTCAACCTATACTCTATCTCAATATAATAAATATTATGAGAATAACTACCCGCACTCAAAGACACAGACAATTAGATTAGTGAATAAATGGAATAAATCTTAGAAAAATATTTATAGTTGTTTTTATTAGGCCACGCAAAGTTAATTTTTCGTTTTGCATAACATGGTATTTCAAAATTCCGGTCGGCGGGTCGGATTTTT